GAGGCAGAATGATTTCCTATTTAAACTCAGGTAGAGGTATCTAACATGCAACACGTAGTTGCAAACAAAAATGTACCAAGGCAGCCTCCAAACACACACTATTAATATCTGCCTTACAGCTGCAGGGGTACAACCACCTCAGCAGATGTCCATCAGCAATCCATTTGCAGAATTAGCCCTTCTCCCACGAGCCAAGAGCCTGCCTGTAATGGGATGGCTGGCAGAGGGATCTGCCTCTCAGTTTTGGAAGGTGGATCACACATAGGACGCTCAGTCCTAATGGTGAAATATTGGAACACAGCGACCTGAGTCCTGAAGTACTTCATTTGATGATTAATGGGCTTGAGGTACTTTAAAAATAACCATGGGGCACACCAAGTACAACAGTGGGGTTTATTTCAACAGTCATTTCTGCCCTGGACTGCTAACACAGAAATGCTCAGCAGGTCTGTGATTCAAAGGGAGGAGCTGCCCGCAGCCACACAGAGGAAATGCAGCAGGCAACAGGGACACAAAGGAGATCGACAGCACAGCAGTGAAACTCATGCTGCTGCATTCAGGTCGTGGCCAGATTCTTCCCTACCACACCACCTCAACTTCATAACAACACTCAGAGGTTACGAATGTCAGAGCAGTTCTCAAGGAGGAAATAAATAGAGTGCAGACTGTGGGCAGGATTCAGGCACTGGCACAGTTGCCCAGAGAGCTGTGGGTGCCCCATCCCAGGAGGCACTCAAGGCCAGGTTGGATGGGGTCCTGGGCAGCCTGAGCTGGTGGGGAGCAGCCCTGCCCACAGCATGGGGGTGGAACTGGGTGGGCTTCAGCACCCCTTCCAATCCAAACCAGTCTATGGTTCTATGATTTGAAATAAGAGTCTGAGGGAGAAGCGAACAGAACTGTAGTGAATGGGGGAGGTCAAACGGAGGAGAAACGTTTCCATGGGATCTCATCTGCACAAGGAAGCAGCATGGGTGCTGCACCCAGAAACCCAAGAAACAGGCTGTGAGGCCAGGCTGCTCCATTACAACAGTGCAAGATGAACCAAAAGAAGGGAAGTCCCACAGCAGAAGAGACTGCAGTGAATGGGACACGTGGGCAAGGACAAATGCTGCTGGCTGCTGCAAATGGCCCTGTAGCTCATGAGGGGATGCTGCCATCATCCTGCCACCATGCCCCTGCAGTGGCTCCCAGGAAGGAGGGTGAGAAGCAATACATCTGGTTCTCTCAGCTTTTGCCTGAAATATGACTGGTTTTGTGGTAAGAGTAATGCCCATCCATCAGCACATCCTGACCAAAGTCCTGGGGGTGCAACCTTCCCTCTTGAAAGAGGCAACAAGAGCCATCCACTCAGAGAAGGCCCTGCTTACCCAAGCACCAGCCAACATGGCCTCATCAGCACAAAGACAGCCATGAAAGAACCAGCAACTCTGCATATCTGTACTTTGATTCCTAGCTCTCCAAAGCCACAAGAAATAACCACTCTGGATGCACCTTATAAGTAGCAATGAACACACAGGTCTTGCTGTCCTCAAGGCCCAGAGGTCTCTCCCCACGGCCTTTCCTCTCCTCTCCACACTGCCATCACTGCTCTGCAGACTGCCCAGCACTGACAGGTGCAGGGCACAGTGCTTCTCACAGGAGCAGAGCATTCCAACAACAGCTCCATGCACTGTGCTGAGAACTCGCCGGCTGAACGTGCAGCGAGGAGGCCTGGGTCATTCCTTACAGTCCGGCCAGCACTGCTCGCAGCACGCACATTCCCCTGCAGAAACCAACCCCTTCTGTGAGTAGTGTGAGACAACACTATTCACCACGGTTACAAACAGTGCACAAGTGGCTGCTCTCTTTCCCACTCCTTGCTCTCACCAGCTGTCTGCTCACCCAATTTTCAGCAGATGGAATACCGAGGAAGAAATTGAGAATAAGAGACGACGGCTTTTATCTGCCATGTTTTCAACACATCAGCAATTGATGTGGTGCTTCCTGTGCCCCGCTCACAGCAACAATCAGCACAGACTGAGGCACACTGCAGTGCCCCGTGCACAGGTCAGGCTGCAGCCTGCACCCTCACGATGACACACCATGCCAGCCCATGGCCAGCTGCAGAGATGATAACCACCACACTTAGTGCCAAGCATAACATTTTTGCACTGCTCCTGATGTGTCAATACCAAGGTGCTGCCAGGAAGGGGGGGAGCCCAAAGCTGGGTTATCGTGGCCTCCTCCTGCCGCTGCCCATGGGATGTGCTATGCGTTATGATACAGAATATCTGCCCGCCAGCGCAGCCAGCCTGGGCAGTGACAGTGGCAGATAGCACCCACACCTGCTGGGTGAGCTGCTGCACTGTGCCCGCATGCCTCCAGCAGCAGCAAACCATGGGGCACCGCAGCACAAGGACGGTGCGATAAAGGAACTGAAGCCAAGCACCGGCAGCATGAGGGAGAGGAGAAGATTCAGCAGTGTGACACTTGAAGCACATTCCACACAGCGGAAAAACATAGCCCAAGAACATTCAGCCCAAGGAAGCCAACCTGGCCCGATGCTGTCTTTGGCCAGCAGCGTGGAGCACAAAATACGAATGAATGAGCTGCAGAGAGCTGGGTCCCACCGGACTGTCCAGCACCGATGACTCATCCCGTGCTCTCCTTCAGTTAACGGCAAGGAAACGAGCACGCACGGAGCAGCACTGACCCTGGCATCGTCCCTGGGCACCTCCTGCCAGTCCCACCGGGATACCCCCAGCACCCAGCAGCGGCCCGAATTCCTACCCCCTCCTCTCTCGCACCAGCGGGAGACCTGCGGGGGGTGCCCCGAGTCCGGACGCCCGTAGCGCGGCGCGGTGCAGCCGCCCCCCGAGCAGCTCGGTGCCCCCCCGCAGCCGTTGCGGGCCCTGCCCCCGCGGGAGGAGGGCGGCGGAGCCGGGGGCGGCGCTGGCGGCCGTCGGGGCTGCGGCGAAACACCGCCCCCGAGAGCGGCGGCAGACGGCGCGGAGCTCCGCGCGGGCTGCGGGCGCCCGTCACCCCCGAGGGTCCCGCGGCCCCGCGGCGCGCCCATGGCCGGCTCGGAGCAGCCCCCGGCGGCGGGCGGCGGCCCCGACGGCGGAGCGGCGCCGGCGGCCGCCGAGGCTCCGGGGGAGCGGCCGCTGAGCCAGGGGCTGAGCGTGCTGGTGGGGCTGGCGCTGTGCGTGACCATGCTGGGGCTGGGCTGCGCCGTGGAGCTGGGGCAGCTGGGGAGGCAGCTGCGGCGCCCCGTGGGGGTGCTGCTGGCGCTGCTGGGGCAGTTCGTGGCTATGCCGCTGGTCGCCTTCCTCCTCGCCCTCATCTTCGCGCTGGACGAGGTGGCGGCCGTGGCGGTGCTGCTGTGCGGCTGCTGCCCCGGGGGGAACCTCTCCAACCTCATGTCGGTGCTCGTCGACGGCGACATGACCCTCAGGTAGGCACCGGGCGCCGGGACGGGACGGGAACAGCGTGCAGCTCGGCCCCGGGACCCCGATCCTACCACGGGCCGGGGAGGACGGGAGAGGGGCGTGTGTTTAGGCAGCTCCTGCCCCGATACGATCCACCGTACCTTTCGCTCCCCCGCAGCATCATCATGACCGCCTCCTCCACGCTGCTGGCGCTGCTCCTGATGCCGCTGTGCCTGTGGCTGTACAGCCGGCCCTGGATCCACACGGCGCTGGTGCGGCTGCTGCCCCTGGGCGCCGTCAGCCTGACGCTGGGCAGCACGCTGCTCCCCATCGGCCTGGGGGTGCTCATCCGATACCGGTACCCCCGTGCTGCCGACCTCCTGGTCAAGGTAAGGGCACGGCAGCGGGCACCGGAGTGGCCATCGATGCAGTGCAGAGGTTCTGAATGCACAAAGCGAGGGCAGAGGGGGCTCTTATGCTGTTAAACTCACAGCCATGTGCCATTTCTCGCTGTCTGTGGCCAGGTCTCGCTGTGGTCCCTTTTAGTGACCCTGGTGATCCTTTTCATCCTGACTGGCACCATGCTGGGGCCCGACCTGCTGGCGCACATCCCCGCCTCTGTCTATGCCATCGCCGTGCTGATGCCGCTGACGGGATACGCCCTGGGATATGGTTTGGCCACTCTCTTCAGAATGCCCCCGCACTGCCGAAGAACGGTGTCGCTGGAGACAGGCTGCCAGAACGTTCAGCTCTGCACCGCCATCCTCAAGCTCACCTTCCCCCCACAGCTGGTGGGTGGCATGTACATGTTCCCCCTGCTCTACGCGCTCTTCCAGGCGGCAGAAGCGGGGCTTTTTGTGCTGGCCTACAAGGTGTACGGCAGAGACGGCCCCAAGCAGGAGATGCTGGGTGAGGAGGAGGACACAGACATCTCCTACAGGAAGCTGAAGGAGGAGGAGGTGCCCGATACCTCCTATGGCACGGTGACCACTGAGGAGCTCGGTGCTGCTCCAACTGAGCTGGCACAGACAGCGCTGTAGGCAGATGCTGGGGTGACAGCCAGGCCCACGTGCTGTTGCTGAGGTGACGGCGTGGTGCGAGCCATGCTTGTGCTGGGTGCACTCACTCGGACTCTGTCGTTGTTCCAGCTGCTCCCGTCGTACAAAGTGACGTGTGTTTATTGCCATCACTGGTGTATTTCCTCAAAAGTATATATAAATAAAAAGAATAATAATAGTAAAGGAGGAGAAAGTATCACTGCCGCACAACCCAGTGAGCGCTCCTCTCCACGCAGCGAGGCTCCCGTCCGCCCGAGCGTGGAAGGAGGAGCACGTTCCGAGCGGCCGAGGGGCCGTCACCTTGCACGCGTGTCTCCACGCTCCCGTCGTAAAGCACCGTGCTACCCGCAAATACGCGGTCGAGCCCAAACCAAACCCGTGCTGCCGCCCACTCGTCGCGCGGAGGCAGCTGAGGGACCGCTCCCCTCGGCTCACCGAATCCCGCAGGCGGCCCGAGGCCCCCGGCCGGGCTTCAGGCTGCAGGCAGGCGCCGTCGGGGGGTGGGGAGCCGGCCCCGCCCCGGGGGTATTTAAGGCCGCCCCCGGCCAGCCGTCGGGGCGCCATGGCGGAGGACGCGATGGAGAGCTACCTGTACGCCGCCTACCCGCCCTACTCGTACCGCTACCCGCCGCCCAAGGGCAAGGGCGGGGCGGGCGGCTGGCGGCCGCGGGGCGGCTACTTCGCGGGCTACGGGGAGGCGGCGGCGGCGGCCGCGGCCGAGTACTTCGACAACTACCAGCGGGCGCAGCTGAAGGCCATCCTGTCGCAGGTGAACCCCAACCTGACGCCGCGGCTCCGCAAGGCCAACACCAAGGAGGTGGGCGTGCAGGTCAACCCGCGGCAGGACGCCTCGGTGCAGTGCTCCCTCGGGCCCCGCACGCTGCTGAGGCGCCGGCCCGGCCCCGCCCCGTCGCGACCCCGCGAGGCGGCCCCGGAGCCGCAGCCGGAGCAGGAGCAGGGCAGCCCGGCCACCACCAGCACCCGAGCCGTGCGCTTCCCGCGCACCGTCGCCGTGTACTCGCCCGTGGCGTCCCGCCGGCTCACCGCCTTCCCCGAGGAGCCCGAGGCGCCCCCGGAGCCCGAGGAGCCGCCGGCCCCGGCGGCCGTCGAGGAGGAGCGGCGCGAGGCGGAGGCGGTGCGCGCCAGCTGGGAGAAGCCGCCCGAGCGCGAGGCCGCTCCGCTGGAGCAGCGCGGGGCCGCGGCGCCGGAGGGCGCCCGGGAGGAGGCAGAGCCGCGGACGGAGCCGCCCGCCGCGCCCCAAAAGCAGGAGGCGGCCCCGGGCAAGGCCCGTCTGCGCTTCCAGGTGAGGAGCGGGGCCTGGGGCGGGGGCCGGGCCGCGCGTCGCCCTCGGTAACGGCCGTCTCCGTCAGTTCCTGGAGCAGAAGTACGGCTACTACCACTGCAAGGACTGCAACATCCGCTGGGAGAGCGCCTACGTCTGGTGCGTGCAGGGCACCAACAAGGTACGTCCCGTCCCGTCCCTCTCGGTCCCTCGCCGCCCCGCGCCCGCTGACCGCCCCGCGCCCCGCAGGTGTATTTCCGCCAGTTCTGCCGCACCTGCCAGAAGTCCTACAACCCGTACCGCGTGGAGGACATCACCTGCCAGGTAACCACCGTCCCCCGTCCCCCCGGGCCGCTCCCCGTCTCCCCGCTGACGCCGCCTCCCCGCAGAGCTGCAAGCAGACGCGCTGCACCTGCCCCGTGAAGCTGCGCCACGTGGACCCCAAGAGGCCGCACCGCCAGGACCTGTGCGGGAGGTGCAAGGGGAAGCGCCTCTCCTGCGACAGCACCTTCAGCTTCAAATACATCATCTGAGGAGGAGGAGGAGAGGGATTTTGTTTGTTTAGGGCTCTTCCAGGGAACTGCAGGCTCAGCAGTTTTTTTTCCGTTGTTGTTGGTTGGGTTGAGGGTGGCTGGGAAAGCTGCGAGTAAAGATTTGGTGAAGCCTCTCCTGGCCAGGTGGGGCTGTGCCCGGTTTGGGGGTGCGTGTTGAGATTTTGGTAATTGTGTAAGGGAAGAGCCTGCAAATACTGGTTTGTGAATTAGTGACAGTCTGGGCTGCAGCCAGCTCAAGGCTGTGTGGAGTCTCAGACAGGAAAGAACGCTGGTTACTCATCCTGCATGGGGAGCTCAACCACTTGGGCATCAGGCTGACATCCACTGTGGTGGTGGAGCACGTCGCAAAGAGGGCCGTGGTGGTACTCAGTCACTGTGCACATTGGTGTAGAGGGGCCCCTGCCCTGCTGTTCCTCTCTGGAAGAGGCTGAGAATGACTGTGTAGAAGTCAGGCTGCTGCTGGTATGGCTGCCTGGGCCTGGCTGAGCTGGCGTTGTAAGCTGGGGCCCCATGCTGCTTGGGGTGGTCTTAAGAGGTAGCTGTCACTGACTGATGGTGAGGGAGTTCTTGATGTTACATGCATCAGGTGAACAGAAATGTTGGGTTATTGGGAGAAATGGCACTTCAAAGGCTCCAGGCGACCTGCATCTGCCCAGCTTCCTTCTGAACCTGCAGGTGCTGCACAAAGAGCTGAGCACATGGTGGTGTGTGCTTGGGCTCTGCTGCCTTCCATCAGGAAAGGAGCAGATCAGTGCACATCTAGGATGGGGTTTGCAGCTAGAGGTGATGCACCCAGACTATTTTTGGTGCTAGGGTGAGGTCTCTATGGGGATGAGCATGTTTCAGTGGTGTTATGCACACTGGTGCACTACAGCAGTGCCACCGGCACAGGCAACTCAGGGAAACCCTGAGTCCCACTACAGTCTACCTCATAGCTAAGGAGTTGGGTAAACAATGGAGAAATGTACTTTCCTGAGAATGTGAATAAAGCTGTTACGTTCAAAATTAAGCACTACACTGGACTGAGTCTTGTGGAGAACTCTTCTAAAGTGGCTTTCTCTAGAGAAGCACTGCCTTCAGACCACCAGCAGGAGTGACTGAAGGGAAGCAGTCTGTCTGTGCTGCTCTCATAGAGGCTATGGTACCGTGAGGAGGCAACTGCTGTTCTTGCCAGTAGTGAATGTCTGTTGGGAGGCAGTGTTAATGCTACAGCTCCTCTGGAACAGACATAACTCGTCCTGCTGTCAGTTCCTGCATTAAGTGCGTCCCTTGAACTTACTGCAGTAACTCTGTAGTTCTGTAACTTAAATCTTTTGCAGTAAGAGTACAATGTATCACCAGCAATTAATTGCTTAGTAACTTCATTTATGCTTGCTTCACTAGTTACTATAACTGCATGGTGTGCTCTAGGAATGAGCAGAACACCACTTTTTTTTCCACAGCAACACAAGCTCTGTGCCATATCAAGTGTTAGGGCAGCTAACAGAAATAGCATTCAGCTCTTCTATGTATACAGCTCTCCTCACAAGCATGGCTTTGAGGACTATTTGCTATGGAGTTACCAGCAATAGCCAGAATGGAAATGCAATACACCTGGGAACTTCCAAACTCCCAGCTGCCTTGGAAGGCACACAGCTGGTGCTGAGAGCCCAGCTGATCTTCAGGAAAGCTCCTTCAGTGGTGAAAGAGGGGCAGGCTGACCCTACCTGCTGCTGTGAGGTCCTGGGGTGTGGAGGAAGGGGAGTGCAGCAAGCAGTGCTGTTAATGGTGTTAAACAAGCTTTCCTTTATGCTGTGCTGGTTCCTAGTACAGAGGTAGCTGTGAGTGTCACTCTAACATAAATATATTCACTGCTTTTATTGCTTGATGTACAGTTCTGCATTCTTTTCCACTTTACTGCTCTGTCATGTCTCTGACAGCACATGCTGTGTTGTTGGCCCTAGTTCCTCAATTCAGCAGGAAGAGGGGAAGCTGATGGTGACCTGTGTGATTATGCAAAGCAGAAAGGAGCAGACTTGTCAGCTCTTCAAAGATATCTTGAGTGTGTGCTGCACAGCTTTTCCATGGAAAAATGCTTTTTGCAGATGTTAGCTCTGATAATACTGCACTCAGTGCATCTTAAAGATGTCAGACATTGTGCCAGGTTTCAGACAGCCTTCACTACAGCTGTGTTTAGCATGCTGCTGGCACTGGATGAGTCACTTGGGAAGTGGCAACCAGCAAAAAGAGCAGCACTGGGCATGGCCTGATGTCCTCTTGGAGACAGAACAGGTGGCACAGCAGAGGTCTGGAGGTGGTTCTTAAACCACAGTGAAAGAGGAAGTGTGCATTAAGAAGAAATACCCAACCACTGAGGTACTATGATTTATGCTTCATAGGACAGGTGCCGCTTTCCAGCAGCCATTGTAAAGCAAGGAAGACATGTAACTGAGTAACTGTATGCAGAAATTCAGTTTTGAGGAGTCTTATAAATTCTCTTTGCAGTCTCAGATGATGCCTGGGGAAAATGCATGGATCACACATAAGGAAAAAAAATGGGACTATGGGGCTCCCATTCTTCTGTAGTCAGCATTTAGCTTAAGTACTTAAATGCTCCTAAAAATATATGATCTTCTGGCTTGTAAAACTACACAAGATGACAGATACAATGTCTTTTATTTTTACAAAAAAAAAAAAAAGGTAAAAGATGATGTAAATAAAAGTGTAATGCGCCACTAAATGTAACTACTTATCCCCCTGTAAATACTTATTAAATAATTAAGAACACCAGCTACAGTACCACAAAACCACCAAAATAATTCAACTTTATCAGGGTCAGAAAAAAAATACAGTGATTATGGATGTGCCTTGACTGGTTACAGAGCTTGTTAGGATAATGTAACTACTGTCAGCAGCCCAACAGTGTGCACAGTGCCTTCAGTTAATGCGCTTCAGTACAATTAATTACATTTCTAGTGGGGTTGAATTCCCCCAAAAAGGCAGAGCTAAGAATTTCAGTTCTACATTCTAAACTCTGGAATTAGAGCCCATTAAAAAAAATCACAGTGGGTAAGAGATGTATATAAAAATACTGGGTGTTCCTTTCAAATCACAGGAATTGTGGGACTACTTTTTTTTTCTTCTTCTTTTTTTATTTTAATTTTTTTTTTTTTTTTTTTTTTTTTTTTTACAAAATGCTGTTGGTTTCAACAGAATCCAGTTTGTTTTATGCTACAGACTTTGACACTGAACTAGAAGATATTGCCTGTTTGCATGGTTTGGGAGGCAATCCTTTTGTCTGTATAGTCCCAATTCCTTAGGCTTAACTTGAGCCATGTATGTGCATTCAGACTTTGTTTGAACCCTGCAGGCTACTCAGACTGCAAGTCATGTACGTGACTACCAATAGTGAGAACTCCCCTTCCCCTCAGCTTTATACATCTAATGTCTTAACAGTGCATTGCACAAATTTACAAGAAAAATACTGGTTTTGTACTATACAGTTTCTAGAATATTTACAGAATAAAATAAGTTAACTTCTAATGAGAATTGCTGATGGGCAGCATATATCTTTAATATACATTTTAAAGTCTCTGCAGGCAGCTACTTTTTGGTTAGTTGTTATCAATATTTGTAACATAAGCACTGATCAGAGAACTGAGCAGCATTCCAATAAAGTTAACAGATATATTATTTCTTTTAGAAACACTGGGAAATCCCAGTTTAAAATATTATTAAATGTCCTAACATTTACACGCTATGAGGATTAGATCTAATAAAATAAAATTTCTTCAAAAATAATCTTGCAGCTCTTACAAGCATGCTCTGAGACCTCATTTAACAATCATCCATACCTCCAAAAAACAACTGTCACATAGCCATACATACCAACTCACACACATCCTTTCCTCGTTATGGACAACAAAATAAAACACTGAGAAGTCAATGGTTTTTGCAGTCAGAAGCCATCCTACTCGTATTCAACTGCACACTCTTCATGATGCTGCAAAGTGTCTCATTAGGTATCAGTTGATGATTATATCTACTGCTGCTGGAAAGCCAGGGAGCATTGCAGGTCTTCAGCCAAAATAAACCAGCCTTGATTTTAGCCTCATCCCACCTGCAGTATTGATTCAACATTTAGAGGCTGTTACTGCAAACACCACGTATAGTTCTGTTACAACAGAAAATAATGCATATGTATGCATTACATTTAAGCCCTTTTCCTTTCATGTAGGTTTTGTACATACGTTTAATTAAAAAAATACTACTGCCACACAGCTACTGTGTAGAAAGAGCAGTTAAGTAAGATGTTAACTTCAATTTTCAGATTCTTTACTTCTGAAGAACTAAGTTCCAGCTGTGATGAAAGTGGGTCATTTGTCAGGACTGCTGGAGTTTCTTTTTTGTGTTTTTTGTTTTTGTTTTAAATGAAAGGTGCTCAATAATAGTCAGAAGCATCTTCAGTATCAGTTCTCTTCTAAATGACAGCTGTTCAGAATCCAGTGCTCACAAGACTGACTCCTGGTTTGTTTTTCCCTAGAAGGTGATAGGATTGCACCATGCGTAGAGACTCTCGAATTTCTAGGTTAAGTTCCATCAGCTTTGAGCTGGCCTCAGACATGTCCTGGTTGGAGCCCACTACTGCAAAGCTCCCAGTCTGACCAAGTGTCTGATGACGGAAATATATGTGCAGCAGTGTTTGGATTGGATCATCTTCTGAACTGCCAAAGATGTCGTGGGGCCAAATGGATCTGTGGGGACACAATTTGTATTTAGACATTAAAAAAAAAAAGTAAGTATTCTTAAAACAGGGATCTGAACAGAACATATGGAAATGCAAGAGGAATGTTTTTTCTGTAGTCCTTATAGTTAACAGTGTGATTTTTCACAAAGCCAAACACTAAAGAACAACTATTCCTACAGTTGCCTTTTTTAAAATCAAAAAATGCCAATGAACATGCAATAATTAATCAACTGTGCTTGTCTTTTTCAGTAAGAGTTATCTAGCAATAGCTGAAAAAATTGGAATAGTGCCTATCCCTGTCTTTAAATTAAAACAGCCCATTAGCAAACTCTGGCCTGAAAGCATAATCCTTATGCACTCACCTAAAAGCCTTGACCTGTGCTACAGCTGACACAAACTCCTTGCTTCTCAGGGCTTCAATGAGGGAGTGAATCGCTGTTTCTGTGCTAGCTTGGGAAGCTTCTGCAATTTCAATTTCTTCGATACCACTGTCAGATGCAGCCTCGGCCTCTTTCAGACAGCTCTCCAGAAGAGCAAGTTCCTCAGACATGTTTATGACCTAAAAGAAATACAAAAGTAAGCTCTTCTAGTTTAAATATATTCTTAGCTAAATTAAGCTTCAGCTGATCAGACACATACGTTTTTCCTCCTTGTACAATCCTAAATAAGACACAAAAAGTAATCCAACTATTTGCTTCAGTTCCTTATACATACAGCCAACTTAGTGGCCCAAGTACGTATATCAGGTATGTCAGCTTTCCCTGATGAAATTTCCATCTTTGTCAGTTCTTTAAAATTTGTTCCAAAAAGTACATTTTTCTTCTCACATCACTTGACAACGATTAAATTGATAAGAAGCATTAAACACTTTGGAAAGTACAACAGAAATTGTGTTGTTACAATGACAACCTCAACATGAGGAAAAAATCTGTAAGAACTCACAGTCCAGCAGAATAACTGTAATTCAGATACTGTATATAATACCATCTTTTGCTTGAGCTCCAGCATGTAAGTAAAAGAGAAAAGGAAATCTGGAAATGCTCAGAACAGGATTCTACAACTGACTTCAGAATTCAGGCTGGTGTGATGCTAACCTTCCATGACATTCTTCATACAAAACAAACTCACTTATTTGCAGCCCCTACAAAAATCTGGAGATCTAAGTGAGTAACATGCATCATTTTTTTTCCTAAACCAAAGACTTCCACTCCTCTTCTTTGTTTTCATTCCCACTCCATCAAGCAATACTTTTTTCTTTTAAAATGCTACCTCTATTGCATTACAGTCCCGGTGGGAGAATGTTGAGAAGATTATTAACATTATTAACATTATTAACAGTGTAACTCATTCAGATAAACTCGATTAAACTCATGTGCACAGCTGAATGACGCATTTTGCTTCTAAAGTTAGTACACCTCGAAATCAGCCACAAGACATCTAGCATGCATTACTAACTACACACAGGCTGGGACAGGGTTGCAGTGAAACTGAATGGCAGCTGGCACGATGCAGTCAAGTGAGTGACTGGTAGTAAGTCACTGTGTTCCTACCAGGAAGCACTGGGGTGATGGAAAGGGGCTTCATCACAGAACTCTGCTGGTTGAATTTGTTGTAGCTTGATTAGCAAACGCCAGGAGTGCTACTGAAATATTTAAAGTCCTCATCACTGGACTCCCTGCATTCCTTTCTAAGAGCTTTCAAGTTGTACAAAAATCAACACTGATAATTGCAATCTCAGAAAATTCCTGCAAGTTCTACTTAGATCTTTCATTAATTAGCGATAGAGTAGTGGGGTTTTAAAAAGATGTCCTGCTGAAAAACATGTTACCAAAATGTATTAAAAGTGATTTGGCTTTAAAATGTCAACAGCAAGTAGCTAAATGGCATGATTTTCATTACCTCTGCTTCTTTTTTGATTGTGTTTACTTGGCTGATAAGTTTGCAGTAGGCTTGGAACAGAAGCAGCAACTGGAAATGCAACTTGTATAGCCTCCGACATAACTCCAGTTCCTACAAATGTAAACAACATCATTAGATTCACAAACTGCTAAACATCTACTATCCAATACAAGAAACAAAAGACAACTTCAATATAGAATGTGCAAAAAGTAGAAGTAGTTATTTGGTTACTGTTACGAAAGTGCCAAAAAGATTTGCAAGCTAATGCAGCAAGAAGCTAATGAAAAGCGAATGAAAGCTTCATTCAGTTCTGTATTTATGGGTAGACTCTCTCATACAGGTTAAGAGTTCAAATTTTAATAAGAAGTTACATTTCCAAATGGTAGGAAACAAAGGGATTCAAAATGCATTTTAAGATGTCATGTTCCCAGACAGAATATCATAGGTTGTTTATTTGATATTAATACTGCTTTGAATTCAAGAGCTAATACAAAAAAATACTGTTGTGATTGGCAAGTACACCATCTTTCATAACCACTAATATAAATACGTAAACATAGTATATAGCCTGGTCTTTAGCTTATAACTGCCTGATTGAATCAGAGGAAAATAATTCCATTCTTGAATGTAAGAAGAATATTTCCTTTGTGAAAGGTAGCTCTGTTTCCATTTTAGAAAACACCACGTGATATTATCTTAATGAAATGAAACAGCAGCATTAACTTGTGCACTGTCTTGTTTCAATTTTTATGCTTCTGAAACTGAGGTGCAGACAGTGCTAATACTGCTTTACATAAAGACATAAGAGCTAGTTCTAATGGAATAATCTTCTATAAGGTTCTACTTACTACAGGATTCTGTTATCTACAGAGAACCAACAGTTCACTGGGTTAGATGATGCAGAAATGAAGCACACAGCATTTTTGTAATAGTCTATGACAGGACACCACTATGTCACAAATGGATGAGACAAATGGAGACCAGCTCGTTGACTGGCATGGTTAAATATTTGATAAATCAAGAACCATCACTTACTGCTAGAATTTCCATTTGCTAAGCAAGAAGATGAGCAGGTCACAAAAATACAAAGAAAGAAAAAAGATCAAGAATTAGTGCAGGAAATCATTTTAATTAGGGTAAAAGATGTCCCAGGTAAAATGGAGAATGAAATACAAGTAACATGCTCCAAATAA